TGTACATACATACCAAACCTTGATTGTATTGCATAAAAATAGCTTAGTTTCCTGCTGAAACAGGGCAAATGTTTGGTCCACTATTCCCACAAAAACAAGCTCTTTAAGTGTCTTACGCAACATAATATTGAGCCGTCGCTCTATATTGTCTTGCATTTGCTTTACGCTCGTAAGTTGAACCTGCGACTTGCGCGAAGTACCAACGCACAAGCTGTCATCAGTCACATTACCGATACTCGTAGAATTTGAATTGGTGGTAGGTTCAGATGTTTGCTTTTGCAAAAGAAACTTTTCTAATTTTTGTTCTTTAGAATCGGTGCGGACACGATCTTTATCATTACGCTCCTTGTCTTTATTTTTTACGTCTGCCTCCTCGATATTATGTTCAGAACTGGGTACAACTGAGAAACGTAGCTGTTTGTAAAAAGTACGAGCTGCATTACTACCCAGTAACTTTAATTCTATTCGCCTTTTGATTTTATCAATTATTTCATCTTCATACAGAAAGTGAACTTCATGCTTTGTTGGATGAACATTAACATCCAACTGTTTGGGAGCCATTTCTAGACTAATATAAATAAAAGGGTGCATCCCTTTTGGCAGGTAGGTGCTGTAGACTCCGTCAATGGCTGTTTTTAGGGCTGTAACATAAGTATTTAAGGAAAAAATAAAATTTACATTCAAATTCAATTTCACATACCAGCAGAATCCACTAGTCTATGGTTTATGAACAGTAACATTGTGCCCCGCTTAGCTGAATAGTCTACCTTTGTTACCAGTGCGGTCATTTTAAATTTATGTACATCGTCTTCGTAATCAACGGGTAACAAAGTGCGACCGATTTGCGGTCCGTATATGTGAGATATATTTTCTTCGCGAGAATTACTGCCTACTGTGCGTACTGCTGGCTGTTCGCCATACTTTTTCAGTGTGAAGGCAACGTTTGAATTGTGGACCGCATATTTGGACATGACTTCACAAATTTTTTGCATTTCTTCGGCAGGTGATTTTAAACACTGCCGTCTCTGTGGCATATTATAGAAGAGATCTTCCACGATAATAGTTGTTCCTTGATTTCCAGCACAAGCTTTTGGTGGTCCCTTCAATAGCCCATCCTCATATGTGGCCCTGTAAAAGTTATATATTATTTATACTTTATTTAGTCAAATCTTTAATACATACTTGTAGCCACAGGACTCATTAGCTGTTTTAGTTTGTATGGATAAGTGAGCCACATGGCTTATGCTTGCCAAAGCTTCTCCGCGAAATCCGAAGGTTCCAATATTGCTTAAATCTTCGAATTTCGATAGCTTTGACGTTGTAAACCGTTCACACACGATAGGAAGATCCTCTCGTCGTATGCCTGTCCCATTGTCTTGTATCTGCAATAGTTTCAGGCCACCAGATTTCACAGTTACCTGGATATGAGTTGCTTTCGCGTCTAGACTGCAGGATTTCGGAAGGAATAATTTTTAAACTTATCGTTACATATACATACAAACTATTCAACCTGTTCTCGACGAGCTCTTTGAGTGCGTTAGACGGCTTTTGAATGATTTCTCCAGCTGCGATCCTATTTACAACGACTTCATCTAATTTCTTTATCACGCCCGGCTCCATTTTATCAATGTACGTTAGGAATGTCGGAAAAATATCGATGTGCTGATAGGAGCACGAATTTTTATACGATACGATACCATATCGATATTTTTGCTATTCAATACCGATACTTTTTGCTCGATAGTTTTCAAATGATATTTTTAAATGTACATTACAAATTAGGGCAAGCCTATTTGTATAAAATTTTTTGTAGAGTTCCGAAATGTAAAAATCGGTTCTGATTTTTTATATCTGCCGAAGTACCTAACGTGACGTTACTTGACGTTACGCTACTTAAATTTTCATTGCAGCTTTTTTTGTTAATATTGTTTTTAAACTAATTTGTAGTGCAAATAAAACATAACTTTTATGCGTTCCCACGACAGTCGGGTATACGTAACCGGAACGACCCAGATTTATATCTGGCTAAGGACTGTCACTCCAGCAACACTCCCCAAAATCGCTTTGGGGAATTTGTATGCTGTTAAAACAACAACAACAACATGAACTTTTATGTCTAATATATTTTTTATTTTGACTACCTAGCGGTTTAATTACAAATCTACGTCGTACTATGACCTTAGGTTGGCACCTCCGGCGATGTTATTTAACACACTTACCTCTACATATGCAAACACTTTTTAAAGTTCAAAGTGTTCATTCTTTGTTAGAAAATGAGACAAATATTCAGATTTAATTTTGTGAATTTGGTATCAATATTTGGAATATAGTCTTTTTATCCCGATACTAAGGGGTGCCCGATATTTTTTACAGCGATACTTTAATTGAGTATTATATCGATACTTTTGTTTCGATATCGTGTCCTTATGTGTTGAAAATATCAACGTTTTGCTTCGATGCATTGCAAGTTTTCCACTCGATAGGCAATGTATCGATATATCAACGTATGGGTTTTAAAATTGAACCACCATTTCAGTACCTATACAATTTTGCAAAAAAAAAAAAGAGAAGTGAGTCTGATCAACATTTTTTTTTTAAGAAACCCTATTTTGTTCTGAAATATTTGAAAAATCATTTGCAAATGGATGGATCGATACATCGATACATTTTTGTCACTGACATTCCTTTCACGCGTCGTTACCACAAATCATGCATTTTGTTGGTTACTCTAGAATTAATTTAACATAACTTACCGTAAGAAAGAGTGAAAGATTACTCAAAAAGTCAACATAAGCCAGAAACGAACATATTTTGTTTTTGTATTTCCCTTTTCACCTGATTGACAGTTCGCCGCTTATAATACCACATCAAAAAATTCACGCGAAAAAAATGTTATTTTCCAGAAATACTAAAACAAAAATCTGGCTAGCCTTATTTTTCACCGCTTTCAATTTCCCCAAGGCCGTAATTTACTGTCCGTCTCCACAGGATAAAGTTTATATCTTGATACATATGTTAGAATATAAATAGCCAACGGAGACCGCTCATTGCTCTTCAAGAGCAATATATATCAGAGCTTATATCTTGCCATCTATTGCCGGAAATTTGGTAGTTTGACAGCTACATGTTCATTTGCATGAAAACTTCGTGGCGGCAACATTATTGATATTTTAATGGCTGCATTTCTTTATTCATTCTGAACGTTTGGAATAAACTTTTTTGTTTATTTATTCTTTAGAACGTTCCTGATGATATGCTAACGTATATTTCAAACGTATTCTGTTTGTTCCGGCTGTGAAATGAGATTATCCGGAATGTATAAAGAAACGCAGCCAATATAAAAGCAAATATTGAACTGTTTTCGATTAAAATATTTGTTATTATGTAATTGGATGCAAAATAACCTAGTCCCTTTTCAGACACGTCAAGTCTTGCTTTCAAGTCTGCTCGTTCGTTGGCGCAGGAGGTGGGAAGAGAGGGGAAGTGTACAGATACCTCCGTACCGTCAATTCGTTTCAAGTTCTCTTTTGATCTTTTGATCTTTTCGTTGCTTCCCATTTAAAGATTCAAGGACTTGAATTCAATAAAACTTGACGCGTGTGGAAGCAAAGAGAAAACACAAAAGAGAATGCGATAACAATTGCTTTCAAGACTTGACGTGTCTGAAAGGGGACATATTTTCTGAATTTTTTAAGTGATTAAATCCGGCAAAAATACGTTTTAGAAGCTATCTCACAGATGCTTATATCAAGATATAAAAAGCCCACACAAATATTGCCACTGATATAATTTATATCTAGCGACCAAAATGAAAGCTGGACAGCAATAAATTTTATCCTATGGAGACGGCCAGTTAAGAATATCAAATCTGCAGGTTCCCTAGTTTCTTATGGTAAATCCTAGTCTTACTGAAGTGCCCTAGTGCATTTTGGTCCCTAAATAATAAGCCATTCTTAACACCCTGTGTTTGCTACAGTTTGTATTGTATGACATTCGATGCAACATGTCAGTGTATAACACTCTTTGTTATCCTGTTTCGCGGCCAAAAAAAGATGACTGCCGCTTGCTGCTCACTAGCGTTTAGTCTCTCTTTGGAATTGTGCGGATACGGATGTTTAGTCGCGGATGTGATGGTGTTTATGGCTCCATAAATTTTTTATTTGTGTTTGTATTAAGTGCAGCTTCCTCGCCACTTTGAAAAATTGTGTTTATGAATGATTCTTAAGTTAAATATGTGAATATGTAATTCAATATAAGTGCAAACGCGTTGTGCGCAACGCAGTGCGTGTAAAAAAATCTTTGGTACATTAAGTTATTGAAATTCTGCAAGAAAATATACACATCCATATGTAGCTATGTACATGCATACATAAGTATGTATACGCGCACAAAGTAAAAATGCAAAGCGAATAAAGCGGAAAGCATAAAGCTAGAATTGATTGGTATGTTGCATGAAAAATTAATAAAATCGTCGAGTAACATGAATTAAAGAGAAAAAATAAAAAATATTGTAATGATATTGCAAAATCTTCGTTGAAAGTATCAAAATACGTATTCCGGCTGCTGGAAGGTTCTGACAAAATATTGTAGGTATTTGTGGTTTGTTTAGTAGCGACCGACCGACCGGTTTCCGTATGCAACTCGTTACCTTTGCTGCTTTGCTTTGCTTAAGCAGCTACTACAACAAAATATAATAAAATTAGCTTTGATGTACCTAGCGTTTTAAATTTATTTAATTAATTACTGAATATGTGTTTAAGACACACATACACACATCCATATATAGTTCTGCTATCATCTAATTGGTATTTGAAAAAGGCATATTTTAATGCATTTGCGTATACGTACATACATACCTATCGTCGTTTAAAGTACAAAACCGCGTATCGTCACTTTACAAAATCGCGTAACTGACATTGGCTGCCAAAAATTGGATTTGCTCACACAAGCTCTTGGCTCAATCCTTATCCATTCGGTCTGAAATATTCTAGTCAGAAATGCGATTGCTTTATAAATAAGTAATTTTTAGCAAAAAAAAAAAACCGACTTCAACTCTCATATAAAAAAAATATATACATATACATATATCTCATGATCCGCTGATCGGATCTTAACCAGATTAGTATGGGACCACCTCTGAGACACTACCTTTCCGATGCGAAAAGAATTATCGAAATCGGTTGACGTGGTCCAAAGTTATGCGGTAACAGACATAAAAAAAAAATTAAAAAAAAAAAATATTCCGACGAACTGATAACCTCCTCCTTTTTTGG